CAAGTAAAATGACTTATCTAATCAGAAAGAACTGCATTTTGTGGTGAGGAGGTGAATTGCAAGGGAGCAAATGCATTATCAGATAACATCTGAACAGGCTAGTGGGATTCAATATTTTTAACTTCTCTTTTCTCTTCCTTTATCCACTCATTCCTATTTTTCTTTGCTTCACTAGTTTCACGGGGTTTGGAAAAGTAGGGCTTATATGATGTCCTGAAAACACACTGTCCTGTGTAAACAATTGTTTTTGGCAATTCAGAGTTTTCATGGCAGGATTGCATCTCTCTCTTTTTCTTTCTTTCACTCTCTCTTTTTTTCCCCTCTCAAACCAAATGTTTAGGCCAAAGTTAGAATTGCATGTGTATTTTTATGACTTGGCATATTCAAACATTACAATTGTGTTTAAAGGGGAATTTGATCTTTTTTGCTTTCTTCCTTGGGTCTACATCTTTTCCTATTTCCATTGTTACCTCTTAGTGTGTTTTCATATCTTAGTATACCTCTTCAGCATCTGTTTCTCCTCAATCATGATTTTTTTTTTTTAACAATAATATTGCTTCAGTCTTTTTGGACATGTTTCCTTTTGCCCCCACCTATGAACTTCACCAGGGTGTGTTGAAGGTTAACAGCTCTATTTCTGGAATTCTCTTGGATCCTTTTAGCAGAAAAGTGCCAAGGAATATAAGCAGGGCTCAAATGTATCTGGGCTCTGCCAAGTCCTTTGAGGAAGGCTTCACAGAGTGTACCTTCTGCCAGCTCTCCTCTGCTCTCGCTGTGCCCAGCTTCTCCACCATTCCATCCAGGAACTCACATCTTTTGCTGATGTGGGAAAGGAGCCTTTGGATTAATTGAAGCACCAGAATACTCATTTATTTAACAACACTCCACCTTGTCCATTAACAGGTAGAATATTGCTTCTCACTTTACTGAGTTTTCTACTTGTCTTTTTCATGCCACACCATACAGGGGCCTCGATATATCCAGTGCTCATTTTTAAATGCTCCTATTGATTGTTAGAAATGACCAGAGTTACTGAAAAAGCTTTTCCCACAGTTGTTGAAACAGTGGAAAGGGTAGATGGTTGGCAAAAGTACTGCTAGAAGAATTTGGCTGGCAGAATCACTTAGCAGTGTTTGCCAAAAGGGCAGTGGGTCACAGAGTCACCCTATTAACATACTGTCTTTCTTATAACATAGCTCATGCTATTTGCTTCCATTGTGACTCTTCGTGTTGCAAGAGGTGGTAAACCCAACCCAAAGAGGCTCAAGCAAAAAGAGACTTCATTGGTTTCAAAACTGATAAACTAAGAGGTGGGATCGTTCTCTTGTATAGCTAAATGTGGGACTTACATGGTGCTAAAAAGCTGCTATTTCTCTCTGTGATCTATTGGCTTTCTCTTTACAGTCCTGGCTCATTCATTGGCAGGATCTCTCTTTCAAATACAAGTTCTAGAACAAGAGTTCCAGAACTTATATCTTCCCAGCTTCACTTGCACAAGGCTCATTGCAATTACATGTTTGATAGTAGAAGGCTTAGGCTCGTGAAACAGGATTTCCCGTATCTGGAAAAAGGAGCAGTGCTGGAAATTTGGCATGTTCTTTACCCAGAAGCCCCTGCCAAAGTCTCACTGTGTTCTGTTGCCATTGCTGTTGCATGGTAACAAAATCAGGATTTCTATCGAGTATTCTCCATGCTCTTTGCATCCATTTTCTTCAGGGAGAAGCTAAACCCATCTCCAGCTCCTGGTACAAATTCTGGGTTACTTAAGACTCTCTTAGTAATCTCTTTCCTCTTGACTATAATTGATTATGCAAGACTGTGTGATAGAATTCTGCTAAGGAGATGTAAGAAGTCAGCTGAAGGCTCTTGGTAAATGTCTCCTTAATCTTGAGAAGGGACACATAGGAAAAGATAGCCTCTTCTTTAAGATATCATTGTCTACAAGAGATGCTAGTAGTATGGGAACCAGCAGTTAGCGTAATGGCTATGTCGCTGGCCTCCCACGTAGTCGACCGCCGTTCGCGTCCTGGACCTGGTGGCTTAAAACTCACATCGGGCGCGTGTGCGTGCATGCCCAAGATCCCGAGAGGAGAATGGAGGAGAAGGGATTGCAGCATGACCATCCCCTCTGGGGGGTGATTTCTCGCTTTCTGTCTCTATGTCTCTGTCTGTCTGGGGAGTGCACATGCCCTATAGCAAAAACCTCTCCAAAAAAAAAAGGAAAAAAAAAAAAAAAGAGATGCTAGTAGTTACTACAGCTATCTAGCAGCCATAGGGGAACTAACCCAAGAAGCAAGGGCAAAGCTCATTTGCAGAGAAGGGGAGGAACTGAAGGCTTTGATGACCCTGTTGAACTTCTGCCCTATCCTGTAGCCATCCTGACTTCAGACTTTTTGTGATGTGAGACATAATGTATTCTTATTGATTAAGCTGCTTTGTGTTGAGTTTCTTGGTTGAAAGGGAATTTGATCTTTTTGCTGTTTCATCTTCTGGGTCTACTTTTTTGGTCTATACTCTTTAGTTCCATTGTTTTCTCTTTTAGGGGACATTCAGCTGAAAGTATTCTAAATGGCATTTTGTCATTGGGTCATGTTCCTCTTTTTGAGCATTCCCTGCGGGAATGTGATGTGTGATTGGCCTCAGTCTAGATAACCCAGGACCCTCTGCGGTGGGATCAATTCATACCATCTGACTTCATGTACTGAACACAGATGACAACAACCCACTGGGAAATGATGCTATGATTTCCGTAAAATAGTAATGTAGATGCTGTACAACAAAAATATCAGATGTCCAATACCTTGTTCTTTTGAATATACCTTTTATTACACAGTCGTCTTCAATCATGAGTATAGTAAGTAGGTTATTTGTTACTTCATCTGGTAGCCCAGCATACATACCTTTGGAGGTATTTTAGACTGAAGGTAGATCTGCCATGCTGTTGACTAATCTCAATAGTTTATGAAAACTTGTCCTCAGTTAGGGTCTCATATCTTCAGCTTTGGAACATAAACTCTTTTGAGAACATAGCAAAGGAACACTGTGACACATGGCCAAATGCTCCCGAAGGATACTAGAAAAACCAGGCTGCTGTTAAGCAGCATGTATCATCCCTGAGGCCCCATGGTTTTCTGACCCTCCTCTCTCATACCCCCTAAAGTTCAGTTGGTCTCATGGCTCGTGAGTCAGCCTGGTATGTAGAATAGAGGGGCCTCAGGTCAGGCTATGTCTAGTGATTTTAATTCTGCTGTTGACTGAAATTTCAACTGTCAAGAAAGTTTTGCAGTCAGCCATTTGATAGTGGAAGGGTTAGCCCATGAAATTGGATTTCCTGTGTATCTGGAAAGAGGAGCAGCCCTGGAGATCTGACATGCTCTATGAAAATTAGGGGTTAGTTTTTGCTGTTCCTGGTTAGTTTGTGCTGAACCTAATGTACTTCAACATTTGAAGATTAAAAAAAAAAAGAACAGAAAAATTTCTTTCTATTTTGTATTATGGACTTAAGTAACTTTGCGGCAAGAGAATTTAATCAACATTAAACTATTTATATCGCTCCAAAGTAATTTCCTCTCTGTCAATGCAAAGACATGCGATTTTGCTTAGTTATAATTAGTGTGAACATACTCGTTTTTGTCTAAGAAAGGTTTTCTTTACCTTGGCATTCAGATTTGTTTTTATAGGCGAAGAAAACACTGCAAACGATTGAGAAGAAACCTCTGCTGGAGAGTTGGGAGAACTCTATGGACTCATACTATCCCAGAATGAAAGAAACCTTCAGGGACCTACATCCCTGCCTGTATCTCTTATGCTCAGCCTTCTATATAAATAAGCTCACTGGAATGGCTTTTTCACTCAAAGACTCCTCTGACTCTCACTCCACAGCACCAAGGAATTGGTCCTCTTGCTTCTAAAAGAAGAATGAAATCCCATCCTCTGGGTTGCCAGGAACCACTTGTCTGTCTTGAGCCTGCACCCTTGACCCTACTTTACCTGGCTGCCATGTGATTGAAGAAGTGGGATCCTCCTGGGAAGAAAGCAGAAAATATGCAGCTCTGGGGCAGTTCTCCATATTTATCTCCTTCAAACGTCTCCTTTTTTCTTGAGATCACACACAAATAGTTTTTTAATCTATCAAAGCATAAAATTGCCTGTCCTTTTTTCCTAAGTCAAGGAAGTAGCCTTGTTAGGTTTAATTAAAAACAGCAACTATTTGTACAGCTGTGCCTGGGCTCACAGCTCATAAAAGGATTTAGCTTGAGCCTTGCTGCCTGTGCACTTGGGAGAGCTTCACACAGCCATGTAGGATCCTCATCTGGGCAGCATCAGGCCTGGGCTTTGGGGACAGGCCCCCTTGCACACTGTTGCAACTTCAGCTGTCAGATTGTGGGTGTGCATGGGGGCACGAAGCAAACACAAAGAAGAGAACTTCCAGATAGAAAAGTTCAACCTATTTCGTTTAGGCGATATGAGGCCTTGAAGGCTACTCCACGAAGTTCCTGAAAATTCTCCTAGGGCTGGGAAGGGAGGGAGGGGCAATGACTTCCCTTTGTGAATTTGCTGGGGCTCTTCACACTTTAGCCCTCCCGGGCGGGTCATTTCCATCACCACCCAAGGCGTAAGTGGTCACTGGCAGGCATCCTTCACAGGAGCTGGGGGCGGGGTATGCCTGCTGATAGATGCATCCACACAAAGCAACACGCGTTCCCATCAAAGCTCTGGAGATGAGCAAGAGCCAGCGCTCAGCGTTTGGCTGATTCTCAAGTACACACCGAGCAGAGCCTCGCTTGGGTCGGAATAAGCCCATTTGGACTTGAAGTGAATGCAGGGGCCAGCGTGGGTCACCGATTGCGGACCCGGGGCGGGGCCGGCCACACAAGCTGAGAGACACCGAAGCAGAGGAGCGGCGGGTTAGGAAATGTAACCCTGGCGACCCTAAACGCCCCCGCCTCTTTTGCTCTCGCTCCACCTGCTCGCGGAGCGCCCAGCCGCCAGCGGAGGCGATGGGCAGGCCCGCGCCCCTAG